ATATTTGACTAATTTTCATTTTCTCATGTGTTTGTTGACGTGAAACAAATAAAATTTTGATGTAAGTTCTTGTGATGGTGGCATAGACAAAGATTGGTTGCTTTAATTCATTAATAATGATTATTAACATTTGCCTTATAAAAATCTAACAAAAACAATTTATAACTAATTACCAAGTAACTTTTTAATGTATGTTTCTCTATCTTGGTATAAACGTAGCATATTTGACGGATTGCTAAAAGTATTATTACTAAAGAGGCAACGTTTGAATATGACTTCAAAATATTTCTTAACTTTTTCGAAAGTCTACTTAGTCCGATGCAGGTTCGCTATTCTTATGCCTAAATATTACTAAGATATAACTATACATTCACTCCTCGCTTAACTCCGTTTGTCCCTCCACAGAAACAATCGGATCAATCCACGGAGGAGGAGAAGAAACAGCCCACTCCCCCTCCAGATCAGTGGGCGGAGATCTTAGGAATACCTGGTGAGGGGGGTTCGAAAGGGTCCAAATCAAGAAAAACCTCAAAGGATAAGCGAGACGCATCGTCAGAAAAGTCTGAGGGGTCGAAATCTACGACTCCAGAGAAGGAGGAGGTGCGGTCACCGAAACAGCTCAGATCCTCCAAGAAAGAGTTGCCCACGCCTGAGAAAAAGTCCCCAATCAAATCTCCGCCAAAGAAGAGAAAAGCGGATTTCAAATCGCCCGACCCGGAAGAGACCGCTAAGAAATCTAAGAAGACGGAGAAAGCAGCCAAGACGGAGAAGAAGAAGCGGAAGAAGTCCGAAAAGGATTAGTGTTTACTTTACGTGTTTTTCAAACACTGATCTCTGGCGAAGCGCTAGATTCGCAAGCGCTGTGGACATTTAGGGAAACAATGTTTCATTATTTTTACATCCCTCCTTGTAATGCGGGTAGGAGGATTTTTTTTATAGACGATTCAAATTTCCTTTTGGATACAGTTTGTAACCGAGATCTGTATGGTTTGGGTGCTTGTATATTTTTGTGTCGGTGTTCAAACTTTTATGAAAACAACATATTTTTAAATTAAATGTTTAATGTTCTGTCAAATTTTTGTTCGTTTGTACATATTGATGTATTGCATGGAAATGATTTTTTAGGCTCCGGAGACTAAGTTGACAACTACTAAATGTCACATTCGAAACTGATGTGTTTTTATTTTTACTTATTGTTTGCACTGGGTGTAAGGTCTTTCGCTAGAAATAATAAATTCAATGCTGTAATATATTGTCCAGTATATAAATAAGTTTTATATTGAGATGTTTTTGATTTTGATGGTAGCTTAAGCTAGCAGCCATCTGGTCCACGACGATAGAATCTCAAGACGTCTGAGTGGATAAAATCGTTTGAGGTTTGTATTACTATCGATGTTCTTATTCATCGTTTCCACTAACTATAGTTTACATGCGAAGACGTTTAAAACACCAAATCGCACTACTTTTACGTATCAAAATCCACTTCAAACGATAATTAAACAATAATACCGAAGTAGCAATCCGCTGGCGGTTAAAAAAACCAAACAGTGAAACCGTCAAAACCAAAACAGTGTTGTATTTATTAGCGTAGTGCGATCCTAATGACTTCAGTTATTTAAGTCGTAAAATTTTTACTTGTATATTGCGTTACTTGTGCATATTGTATTGCGTTAATTGTGCATATAATACTTGATTGGTTGCACGTTTTATTATACATATTGCTAGTCCCATTATAGACGCTATTTTGTTTTAAATTTGCTTATCTATTATCAGTTCAGTATTTAGAATTACTATCTATGAACAACCTGTATTTATTCCAATTATTACTGGACATGACTACTATTTTAGTCTCCGGAATTCATAAATGTAATATACTAATGGCGGGAATGTCTAACTACCCGCAAAATTATTTAATATTATACATAATCAACTCAATAAGTGGAATGTTTTTTTATAATTTATGAGGTATTTTAAAAATTTTACGCGTCGAGTGACAAAATTTGACCAATATGCACGTATGGTTGACAACTTTTATTATATGTAGTGGATACGTTACTTTGATAATTGGGTAATGCAATAGCTGACACGTTGGCCAGGCGTGTTGATAATCCCAGTTTTTGTTTATAGAAATAGAGATGGAGAAAGAGATTGCCAGCAACAATCTGCGGTTTCAGTTTCCCCCTGTTGCCTCTAACGGCACCCACGGATTGGTGTGAGATAGTGGATTTTCTTATTCCCGCTTTTACAAGGCAATTACGTAGCACCGTTCGCCATTAGATGGCACCTCTATGTTGTCAACTTAAGCAAGTGAATTGAGTTTTGTCACTTGTCTTAATGTAAAGACTCCTTCATCAACTTATCGGATATTGTAAATATATTGAACATAATTCTATGTAATATACGGCGTAAACCATTTTAATGTATTGGCATTGCATGTATTATATAACATTGAAACAATTTTTGTCTGTCATTTTATACGTGGTGTATGTGATTTTTTCTAACTCAAACTAAAAGGTTATACAGAGTGTTTGAAAATTCTAAATTATGTGGAATTGGTAAAGGTTAAATTCGGGAGGGTAAACGGAAAAATTGCTTTAGTGTTCATTCGAGTATGTGTATTTGAGCGCGTATTGTTTGCATGGGTTATACACCCATGCAACGTGAGAATTTTTTAATGTAAGTGTAGAGTGCGAAATTCATTTGTGATAATTGTGCAAATTTCAATTGTAATTGGAATGGTGCTTTTCATATAAATGACACAGTTTCGTAATTAGAAATTTAACGTGTCCATTAAGTGCGTGCTGTGTGATTATGAGTAAAATAAACTCCCTTCCCGAACTGACTGAATTTTTCGACCAACCAAAAGTAACACGCTGTATAAGCGTCGAATAATTGATTATCTATTAATAAAAAAAGCTTTGTAAATAACAAAACAGATTCGCTCAATTTTTTTTTCTTATTAAGCAATGTTTTGAGAACGGGATTTATAACGTAAATATATCCCCGCGTTATGTCAATATAATTTCAAATAGCGTATCCTGTGGATTGCAATATAAATGTCAAATTTTAACTGTAGAATTAGTTATCGGTTTTATTCGACTTATTTTGTGTATATAGGCTGTTGAGATTTCATTAAACGTACGTTAAAAGTTAAAAAAAAACTTTATGTAAAATAGATTATAGACCGGAAATTTGAAAGAACATTTTCTTACTTAAAATCTAATTATGAATTGTTTTTAACTTTAGGAATTAATTACGATAACGAAATTTCAACAACTTAGACAGTTAGGTTAAGTTTTGTCTGAGTTGACATTAAATGATTTAAGTACAGTTAAGTACGTTATATTTTATTATTCAGATAACAATTGTAAATAATAATGAGTAACGTGTTATTCGAACCGAGATAATAACTGTGAATAAAATATGTTGTATTGAGATGTGGGTTTCATTATCGTTACTTACGTGGTGTTGCCTCGCTGCAGCTACATTATGGTTGCAGCACGAATGGGTCGGCTCGACCGGGGAAGGACCACGCTCTCACAGAATACCAGCATGAAATAGCAGCTTAATGCTGCTGTGTTTCGTATGGTGAGTGTAGAGAACCGGACACTATTTTTACTGGTAACGAGGCACATCCCTCTTAGCGGTGACAACGCATCTGCATTTTGATTCTGAATCAAGGATAGATGTAGATATCAACGGACCTGAGCTTCCGTTATCAGTGGACTATGTGATCATTTTTATATCTTCTTTGTAATTATTCTGTAAATGTAGACTGTTGACGTGATCGCATCGTCACTGATCATATTTCAGAAGGAATAGACGATTTCTCACACGATATCGCAAACATGGGACCTACCACGCCACCGCCTGCAACTTTACAAGGCGCAGCAGGTTCGGCCGCACATAGAATAAATACTTTTCCCATCTCTGGGCTGGGGCTCCCAAGTACCAGCTCCTTCCACTTCACCGCATCCAGCGCAGAGCGGCTCGAATCGTCTACGACCGAGTGCTTTCCGATCGGCTCGATTCACTGGCGCAGCGAAGAGATATTGCATCTCTTTGCGTATTTTATCGTATCTATCACGGGGAGTGCTCTGAGGAATTGTTCGGATTAATCCCAGCCTCCAAATTTCGTGAACGCACCACGCGGCAAACGGCACACCAGCTGGATGTTTGGCGGACCACCACTGTACGTTTCACTAGGAGTTTTCTTCCGCGTAAGACCTCTGTGGAAAAATTTGCCACCGGCGATTTTTCCGGACCGATACGACCTTCAAGAAAAAAGCTTACTCCTTGGGAGCTTACTAAAGTGCCGGCAACGCACCTGCAATTCCCCTGGTGTTGCGGTTGGTCATGAGCTGCGGTAGTCACTTAACATCAGGTGAACGTTTAGATCGGAACAAAAATATATATTTTAATTTAATCTGTGTGTAACCGCTGTTAAGAATGACATCTGGACGTTGAACATTACAGTCCGCGCCGTGACCATGCTACCCGATGCGATATCGTCTCGTGGGTGTTTTAAAAGGCGACAGAGGGAAATTAAAACGGGAGATGGCACCAGCATTTTCCTAATAACAACTTACAGTTATAAAAAAAAACTAAGGTTGCTAAACCGCCTGCCAAGCATGGCATCTATAGCATACACCTTTGAGGCAATCCAGAGTCTATGTTCAACAGTGGATTATTATAGTTTGTAATGGATACATGGATGACTGTCACCCAGGGGGGTAGGCACAAACTACAGACTTCCATTTGGCACGGTCCTGACACACTTCTCTCGCCTTCTCCAAATCCATATACCTACGTATACAAGCTCGTCGGTTAAGGGTACTCCTAATTTGGTCCGTATTCAATAAATCTCTATCTATATAATATATCTTATCACACAGTTTCTCAACCTGTCAATCAGATTCAGCCCTAACATACTCCTTAACGACCGCATTTCGATGGATGTATTTACTTCGAAAACAGCTAACGTGTAACGTTTTATCCAGCCGGCGCCAGAGGGCGACACTTCGGTGCAGGAGGAGGAAACGGAAGCGACGGAGGCTGAGGAGGCGGAGGAGGAGGCGCCGGGAAGTCCGGGAGCGGCGGCCAGGGAGCGGGAGCTTCGCGCGCAGGCTTCCATCAAAGAGCGCGAGCGGGAGGTCCAGCGCGCGCTCGCCACCAGCCTGCGAGACAGGGACAAGGAACGCGAGTACCACAAACGGGACGAGGCTGTGCAGGTGTGTATATAGTGTTGAAACTTTTTTTTTATAGGAAACGACACGTGACAAGCGAGCACACAGTCCACCTGATGGTAAGTGGTCGCTGTGGCCCATAGACATCTACATCTATCCTCGTTTACGAATCAAAATGCAGATGCATTGTCACCCGTGACGACTAAGATGGAATGCCTCTTTTCCATGGTCTCCGGTTCTCTACACTCACCATACGAAACACAGCAGCATTAAGCTACTATTTGACGCTGGTATTCTGTGAGGGCGTGATCCTTCCCTGGTCGAGTCGACCCATTCGTGCTACAACTGTACAATTAATATAGTTGCAGCATGGCTCTACCACGTAAAAAAGCCATCCGCAACGGCTTCGCACTGGTGATTTCTGGATCTCGTGAACAGCGCCATCTACCGCGTACACAATTGTGAATCTTATCCATTCAGGGACCCACTCAAACAACGAATTTCATTAGAAGCGATCTAGGTGCGACCCAAAAGGTCCACACGACTAGCTTCCCAGTGGAAAGAATAAAAAAGTATCATATGTTTTAATATTTTATATTATTATATATGACCGATTTTTCTCTAAATTTTTAATGAGGTCTAAGTTAAATATTTATGCGTTAAATAAAGCTGGTCCCATGCTAACATCACTCTGTTCTCGAGTTACACGACGCGAAAATTGAATCCGAACATACATACACACATAAATACATATATACATATGTACATGTGCACCATTGAGCTATTATGTACTACGTACTAGAGGAGACACTGCATTCAGCTACTCTGTTCCACTCAACTGCGGTGCATGCACTGCACTTTAATCAGTCACTCGTTAGGCGCTTGTAGAGTTGTCACGTGTTGTGTTGATTTAAAAAAAATCTCTTGATAAAAATATGCCGTCTTGTGTACTAGCACAAATAATTCAAGAAATGTCAGTAAAAACCAAGGAATTACTTTTCATGGGTTAATAAGATACTTATTCAATAAAAAAGTATTATAAATTAATAATAAAGCAAATTATTCCTAAGACGCCATCTCGTATCATTGAATATAGATTATGAAATTAATATGTTCAGATGCGACATTTCTGTGGGTACTTAAGTTTAGGACGAATATATTATTATACTACACATTTTTTTTTTGTAGAAACATATAAGTTATTATAATTAAGCTAAATTTTTCATGTTTAAATCTGCTTATTATTCTTTTATTTTATTTTTAGGTTTCCACTTCATAATCAAAGTGGAATAAATTCGTCCATTTTTAACTCTCGCGTGCCCAGCATTTATGAACGATTATTTACAACATTTATGATTCTAATTTAAATAAATATATTTGTAATTTAAATTTTATGTTAATAAGTTTTGTTAAACATACATTTAGTACGTTTTTTTATATTTGACATAGATACCTTTTAAAATATTCAGATAACAATATCATCAAAATGTAATTCTGACATAATATTATGTAATATTATATTAAATTAGCACATATACAAAATAAAAAACATTTTAAAAAATTGTAAGTACTCGATATAATTAACAATACAATATAAATAAACAATTATTACATACTGACCATTCTACTTACGTATAATCTATAATAACAAAAACTGACCGCGCAAGCGCAAAGCGCGTTTATACCAACTGCGCATGCGCGACTCTACTATTACCGCGCATGCGCGAAGACATAGAAGTAGCGCACAATTTTTGTTTGGAATAGCTTCTCTAGTACGTAGTACATTATAACTCAATGGTGTGCACACACGGAAATCCTCATAAAGACCATACTGTTCGACTCTAAAGACCTTGAAACGTGGAGATATGTTACAATTTCCAATTTGCAAAATCGGACCCATTACAATAACATCACACTGGGAAGTTAAAAATTGGTCTAGATGTTCTCAAATGATGAACTTTCATAAATTTGGCAATTAATTTTTATATACATTACAGATACATTATAAATAATACTTATTGCAAGTCACTCTTATTTTAAATTTACCACTGGTTAGAAAAATATAATGGTAAAAATGTAATGGAATAACAAAAAGAAATGGTGATTGATTGTTTTTTATTATACTTTATATTTGAACTTTACTCGAAATAAATTTAAAATGTGATTCAGATTAAAAAATATGCAATTATTCATTAAAAATTCAAAAGATCGATTATAATCGATGGGACATCCCTAGTAATTTTTATACACCACATGCTGTTTGGCGAAGATGGCGGCGATTAATGTTATAAGTCGAAAAGCAACTTTTAATGTTCATTTTGGCATGCAGCTACTCCGTGTTACAAAAATATTTGCAACTAATATAATAAAATAGATAATTAATTATCGTGTATGTCCGATGTTTTTATTGCACAGGGCGATTTTGGACATTGTCCTTTGGTTAAATTCAGTGCAATCTTCTTCAAAATATCTACCATGAAGGTTAGAGAACAGGAGAACGATCGCCGTAGAAAATAGTGTCCCAGAAATATGGACACCATCAGTGAGGCGCTGCTAAGTTCGCTCAATAAAAGTCATTTTCAGTGTATTTTTCCCGATCAGATGCTAAACCACTTGCACATCCACGTACAATAAAAAAATTCTCGATTTTTAATGTTTCTTTTTGTCAAAAATTCCAAAATTACGGAGCATGAAAATTTCCTACGAAAAAATTAAATGAAAATTTGTACATTATTCAACTAACTTCACCTTCTTGTACTCATAAACAGCTAACTTCGCAGTCACTACTCGCCGACGTCAGCGCCGCTATACATTCTACAATTTACAAGGACAGGCGGGCTATGCTATAGTACGTAGTGATCGTTCTCCTGTTCTCTAACCTTCATGATATCTACTGTGGTATCATTTGTTTGATTTGTTCTGATAAGTTTATTATGCTATTTTGTTGCAGCACTTCAACGCTCTTCTAGCGGACCTGGTGAGGAATCCGGATCTGACGTGGCGGGAAGCCAAAAAGCAGCTGAAGAAGGACCATCGGTACAAATTAGCAGAGCTCCTCTCCAAAGATGATAAGGTAAGGATAACCCCAATTTCGCCTTAACGTTCCTTTCTTTTTGACTTTTCATTTGGAATTTGTTAGTAATTGTGTAGTGTGTAGGTAGGTAGGTACGAAAATCAAGTTGATAAATAATAAGAAATACTGTAATTAAATACCATTTCTACTGTGAACTATATTTGAGACTTTACTCGGTGTAACTCGACGCATTATCCATAGTAAGAGAATCAGGATTGTAATAAGATCATACATACCATGTAACTTGAAGATAATCGTTGGAAAACGGAAGATAAACACAAATCGACCTACATATCAACGGGAACATTAACCTTTCTTTTTTTAATTTATTCTATGTACACACAACAAGATACAGAAGCAGTCTTATAGTAATTTCGTACAAAGGTTCTACTTATTCCATAGTTAGCTGAAATATCTTCCAGTAGACTCATAAAGGAAATTATATTGTAATTGCAAACTTAGTGCATACATTAGTACTACTAAAAATAAATAATATACAAAATGTTACGTAAATTATATAAAATAAAACAATAAATAAAAATAAAATAAATCAATACATAATAATAAATAAGATAGTTACATATGATATATATAAACTAAAACTAATATGATAGAATAAAATATATTAATTAACAGGATGCAAAGTAGTTATCTCTAAGACGTTTCTTAAATACCAATAAAGTTTCAGAATTTCTTATATTTGACGGTAGTGAGTTTCATAACCTTACCGCGTGAACTGAAAAGGAGTGGGAGTAAAAACCGGAATTATAGACGGGAAAGTCAATAAGAGTTTTAACAAGGGATCTGCATGGTTTGTCCGGAGGATGGGTGAAGGAAAATCGGCTTCTGAGGTATGTGGGAGAGGAAGGGTTGTGCAAAATTTTATGGAGGAGACATAACAATCGAGTGTTCCTTCGAAGTCGAATTGGGAGCCACTTGAGTTGCTTACGAAACTGAGATATACGGTCAAATTTCTTGAGCCCAAATATAAAACGGATACACTGATTTTGCAAGTGCTCAAATTTATTAAGAAGCTCCTCTGTAGCATCCAAATAACAGGCATCCGCATAATCAAGGAGAGGTAGGATAAGAGTAGGTAAGCACGAGTGATATTTTAGCTTTAAGGGGTAAGAAATTTTGTAGACATTTAAGCGAGTGCAAAGTAAAGTACACCTTGCGACTAACCTCAGCGATATGCGTGGTCCATGTTAAATGGTGATCAAATATGACGCCTAAGTTTTTGACAGTATTGGCAAAGGGTATAGGAACGCCATTAAAACAAACAAGAGGTAGTGATGTAAATATAAATTATTTGTTAGAATTAAGTAGGTATGTAAAAACTGTAATATTTTTTAATTAAGTAGTCTTATTTCCACCATCATCACGAGACTTTGATTTACCCCCCATCATCCGAATTGGGGAAGTAAAAATTTATGTATTTTATTTGGTTCCTTTTTATTTTTTTCCTTGAGTTCAAATCTACTGATTTTAATGCGCAGGAAAGCGTGTGTTCTTGTAACTATTTCGTCTCCATATCTCTGAAAAATCCTAATGATAAATTCAAGCCAATTTTTTTTCGAAGTAAGCTCAAAGAACTTTTAATTAAATTTTCAAACCTCTTACATAATTAAGTAGATTTTTGGTATCAAGAAACAACTTTATAAAATAAAGGCCGATTTCAAATAACTAAAAAGGACTTAATAATTTCTATATAAAGTTTATTCTTTAAGCTCTAACTAGAGCACCGACTTCTCATTTATTTTTAGCAATTTGAAGTCAGATTTTACTTTTTACAAAATATGAATAAAAATATTTGTCTTGGCGGCCAAAGTAAATTTTCTATCCCATATCATACCCCGGGCGTCATTAGAAGCCACAGAGAAAATACGGAACACTCCTCTCTATGAAATAATCTTAATATTTGATATGCTGTAGTTAAAGGTAACAATGCAGGGCAATTAAAAATACTTATTAAGATAAGAAATGGATGTGTTTTCCCACACACACACACACACAGCTAGAAGATCAAGGACGTCTCTAAGAAGCTTCTTGGAGAGGTTTTTGATAATCGCAGATGACGTTAGTCGATTGCTCGTTGCGGCTTCGCGAAGTAGTAAACAATTAATTCTCCTTGAATAAAACTATTATTTACGGACTTTATGGCTTTTAATTACTTTAATTTATTTTTATTTTTACTATCCCTACGTTTCGGGTGCTTTACAGCACCCATGTTCAGGGGGGGGGGACTAAGATGTTTGACATCCCAATGTCGTAGTTAGTCCGGCTACCTTCAGTTTTTGAATATTAATTAATCAATTAGGTAGCCGGATTAACTACGATATTTGACGTCAAACGTCTCAATCCCACTGTTAGCGACGACAAGTGAATTTAAACAAAATGTGAAACAATTTAATCTCAATTGTTTCTTATCTGTGATCTAAACTAAGTATAAAGACTAATAGCGTTAATACCAAGAAAGTGAATTAATTACTTATATTAGCTTCAATTCTTATTTTAAAACTGCGTAACGAAAGTTAGTAACAAAGTCTGTAACGAAAATATGAATCTAATTGCTTATTTAGGTTTAATTAGAATGTTAGAAACGAAATATGAGTTTAGTTACTTATTAGAACTTCTTATTATAATTTTAAAGAGCTGTATTAGAGATATTAACATTTAAGTGTAAATGTAATAATTTGTTTAATTATTTTTCTTTTATAGTAATTTAAAACGATAATATGTCAATTAATCACTTTGTAATCTAATTTCTCATTATAAAATAGATTCTAATTTAATAAGAAGTTAAAATATATTCTGTATAGAGTCTTAAGCATAATATTATCATGATAAGCATTGCGCATTCCTGCCGCCTGGCGGCACTACTTGTATGTTAAGAGGTGTTCCGTACTAGAACCATATTTTTTAAATTAATATTTATTTGTCTATATAGTTATTTTCTTATAAACTTTCGAGTGGCAACAATTACTAAATTAATAGGGATTTATGGAATTCTTGGTCTGGTAACAATCCTTTTTGCGCTAGAAGCCGCGCTTGCGTCTGATTGGCCGAACGGCTGAGTCACTTGCGCGCCGGACGCCGAAGCGTTATGAACTTTGCTCTTTCGAAAAATTATTGTGTGTGCCCCTTTTAATTTACAACGAGTACTAAACAATTCCCGAAGATACTGTGCCAGTGACCTATGGATTATACTATTCGGAGAGACAGGGTTATATCCCTTCGAGTCACCTAATCAGCCAGCCAGCTCGCCGAGCTCCAGCAGCGTGAGTCAGTGGAAGGCGGAGACCGGTGAGTTACCAGACCCTTAGCTCTCTCCTTAACATAATATTTTTGATCATTCGAGTCGCATTTTTGTTTATTGTTCGGGTTTGTTGCCACTCGTTAATTACATTAGTTTCATATTTCATTTCGTTACTTTTTTACAATACAACATGGCGGAAGCATCGTTGCATTCCCACGACATTTTCGAACGCGATATCGTTTTAGAAGAGATAAAGCATACTTTACAAATTGTAGATTCTAACAGAGATGAATTTCTTGCGCGTTAAAAAGATATCGTTTCCCAACAACGTGAAGGAGAATGGCCAAATTTCTATAGGGGCTGGACTTGACTTTTTTTTTCATGTCCCAAAACAAACTATAGTGAGATTGGTTTGTTTTTATGTTGTAAACACAATCACGTTTAAAAATAATATCTAAATAGCCACGATTTTTTATAATAACGTCAACAATATTTTTAAGGCTGAATCAACAAATACCTTTTACTTTTTTTTATTGGCCATTTTATTAAAATATAACATTGGTATGTCAAAATTACAATCAATACAAATTATATAAGATTACATTAGATTATTAAAATTACAAATCAAAATACATTTACCTACATTATTTTTACACGTCAAGGAAGTCAGAAAATGAACATTTCATATATTCTTCTATATTATAGAAAGCGTGATTCATTAATTATGTTTTTGTCACTTGTCGAAACGAAGTCTTGTTATTTCTTAAGGCAATTTATTGTACACTTTGATTTTTAACGAAAAACCTTGCTTGGACGCTTTATCCGACTGCGACGTAGCCTAAAAGTGTAGTTAAAATAATTATATTACTCAATAATAAAACATCTCTCAAAGCGCACCCTACGTATGTGCACCATACTCCCTAAAGTTCGATGTCAAATCAAAAAGGGCCGTCTGTCAAACCATCTCGTGAATTAGACCGTTTCGACAACAAATTATGACCGATAATTCAATAAAAACTACACCTACATGTATTGCACTAGCTTGCACGGTATGTAGTGTAAAAAACATGGATGGCGTAATTATTATCACACGAAGTCTTTCCTAAAACATTTTAAGGCTTTTTTGTAGTTTGATTTTAATTCTAGCTGAAGAGAGTTAATCGCTAGATAACTACTGTCTTTCAGTCTTCAATACTAAAGTTGCATATGTATCGAAAAATCGAGTAATGGTAGGTTACGGGAATAAATGAAGTGTAATGGTAGAATTTATAATTTAGGAGTACTTTAATGAAACAAGTAGGCTAGACAAAATTACTTTTTATACATCATCCTCTCTTATATCTACAACATCAAGGAGTGATGTTGGCACTGGCGATATTTTCTCATCTCGATGCTATGCCCATGATAGAAACCAAACTAAAATAGCAGCTTAATGCTGCTGTGTTTCGAATGGTGAGTATAGAGAACCGGAGACCTTTTTTAATGGCAACAAGGCATTCTATCTCAGTCCTCAGGGCTGGTAACACATCAACATTTTGATTTTCAATTGAAGATAAATGTAGATGTCTATGGGCCACAGCATCCACTTACCATCAGGTGGACTGTGTGCTCGTTTGTCACCTTATTTCTATAAAAATAGAGAAAATTACTTTTTATTAATCATCCTCTCTTACAACTACAGCATCTAGGAATGCTGCAGGTGCTGGTATTGTCGGCTGATGCCTGGCCCACCCAAGATACC